AGTCCACCTCTAGGGTCAATAGGGCCAAAACACTCTATATGGGAATGGATGAGAATGCAACAGTCTCTACCCATTGCTAAAACCCTAAAATAAAAGCAATTAAGACTTCTTTTAGTTTTAAAACCCCAAGGAGACCTATTATGAAAATGAGAGCGCAAGTTATTTGGATTTAATTAATCACGTGCATCTGCAGTCTCGTTCCTGCTTGTTTGGGTTCAGTGTGAAAAGCACAGAGAGTATGTGGATGATGGCACAACTAACTATCCCAGCTCTAAAGCTCCACAAATAGCACAATGATCTCATCTGCAGATCGATCTGAGCCTGGAGGCCTTTGCAGATCCCAAGAAACATGCTGGATCCATTACGCAGACCCTCTGATTACTGTACGACACAAAACATGCGGTCCGTCTTTCCCATGGGTGGGTGGGCATTGTTAACCCTATACCGGCCATTGAACTTTAAAGGAACACTCCACTATTTTCACAGGGAGCGTGCTGGGGACTATTTTTCAGGCGCTGCGTAATATCATTGCGCCTGCTGCACCCATGGTACCATATCGGCCTAGAAAATCGCAACTTTTCATTTTCTGTCGGTTTTAGTACACGATGTAACTACAGAAGATTCAAGTTTTAAATAGGAAAAATATAGAAACTCTTTGGTCATTTTTGAGCGAGATGCTAACGGTCTAATCAGATTCAATGATCTATGCTAAGCTACAGCTAAAAGTGCTACCGCCAGACCCGGAGATCGGTTGAATGGATTCGAAAATGGTAAAACTCAACTGTTTAACTCTAGGGGAGTTGGAAAATGAGCCTATTTTCAAAAATAGTGGAGTGTTCCTTTAAAGCATTAACATAGCACAAGTACTCAGGTTTGTGAGAGCAAACAGATCAAAGAAAGCTCTGATTGGATAAGGAATTTAGGAGTAACCAATCAGTGATCAGGATTACGATTCTTTTCTTATTTGTTCTATTACATACTTTTCTCTTTTTTGCAGAAATTAATGATTTTTATGTTTTCTGTAAAGCACTTTGTAAACTTTTATAAACTTTGTAATTTATTGAAAATAAATGTAATTGTAATTTATTGAAAAGCTGAATTTTCAGCAGCCATTACTTTATTTGTGCTGAAAACCATTTATTATTATTATTATCAATGTTGAAAACAATTGTTCTGCTTAATATTTTTGTGTAAACCGTGCTATATTTTTGACAGTTTTAATAAACTGAATGCATCTTATATATATATATATATATATATATATATATATATATAAATGC